TCAGGATTGTATATTTAATAGTATCCACCTATAATAATAATTATTATTCAATAGTAGTTTCTAATTTATTTTAAGCTAAAAACATACCTAATCATACGGTTGATAATATTCAAAAAGTATGGTAAGTATGAACGCAGTTGGGAAACTGAATGGATGTCTTAACATTTGAAATCTACGATAAATCGTTGTATCCAAAATACCTACGATCCTGTGCAGTGTGCCAAATGCTGCGTTTAGTTTCCAGGAAAAGGATTTTATTTTAAGTTCAAGGGCATTTCTTTTTTTAAAGTTTTCAACATTGTTTCGTTGACAAGTGGGAATAACAAAACGACCTACATTCAGCATTTTATGATTCGCGGGCCTATATTATTATTAGATACTTATTACTTTTTAGGAATACAGTTATTAGGCATACAATTAAATCATTTAAGAGCGATAAAAAACTTTCCAACCTCTCCCCCATAAAAAAAAATATTAAAACTCAAATCATTATTTATTTATTTATTTATTATTTTATTTTATTTTTTTTTTTTTTTTTTTTTTTTTTCATTGATCATTAAGCCCGGCAACTATGGGCCATTAGCTGTTTTTTTTGTTTGTTTGTTTGTTTGGTTTGTAGGGGAGGGAACTGTTGGTTTGTAAACACGTGTGTTTGTGGTGGCAGAATTTTTATTGGGGCACCCGTAGGTTTCTGCCATGCCCCGGAGTGGGGGGATGGCGGCACTTGTTTTCCGGACACCGTGACTTGCCCGGAAAAAAATGCCGCCCGGTGGTCGAGAATCGAACCCGCGACTGCCAGCGCCGCGGCCGACGCGTTAGACCGCTCGGCCACCTCGTCCCCCTATTATTTTATTATAAGGGATGACATATAGGCAATTTACATTAAGATAGTTAATAAATACATAAATCTAAACTAAAGAAAAGAAAAAGAAATCTAAAAATACAAAGTGAGGACTTAAAATAAAAAAAAAAAAAAAAAAAAAAAAAAAAAAATTAAAATAAAAAAAGTGGTTATTACTGCATAATAATTTCTATTTCTCTCGCGGATATCTAGATACTTTTAATTGATGTGTTTGGTGATCCAATAACTGCCATGTTAAGGTAGGTATATCGTATATATTATGCTTGAATAACTATATAGCTAGTCGTAGCCCGTAGGTACCTCCTATTATATCATAGTACCATGGCCAATATAGGTATTTTGAGAATCGATACTTACCACGCTACTGTTTCATATCGTTACGCCATCTAATTTAAAAGTCAGCCCGTCGTTGTTGTCCGGGTAACTATAACACGCAGATACATTTATATAATTATACATTTCCCATAAACGTTGTGCTGTCGTTTGGCCCCTAGTCGTGCAAAATATATAATACATATTATGGCTGCGCTCCAGACTTTAATATTGTGTTGGCCGAAATCTAGAAAAGCGGTACGGCTTATACGCCCAAGTCCAATAATAATTGTATAGGTACCGATATTTTTTTACAGAATACCGCAAACGTCTATAATAATATGATAATATTAACTGGTGTAGAAACTAGGAAGTAAAAACTGGTGCATGTTTATCGATTGTATTAAGTAGAGGCGGACTGGAGGAGGGCTGAAAGGTTTTCAGTAGTTTTTATTTTTCGACCCCTCAAGGAAAACTACGCTGCCAGCAAATGTTTGTACAATTGGTTATTCGAGGTAGATATAGGAAGGGTAATGTATGTATTATAAGTGCATATTATTATTATCATGTGTGTAGGAAAACTTAACTGTGTTGGTTTATGTTTATTTGCCCGAAAGTCTTCGGACGATAATATAGATTCACATATTATAATTCATTCGGGACAGTTTATGTTGATAATACGTAATTATTGTATTATAGGTAGTTACTATATAAACCAGGGATTCTCAAACTGTGGTACGCGTACCCCTTGGGGGTACTCAAAATTTTTTAAGGGGTACAAGTCTGGCCAACAAACCTTTAAATTAAAATAGAGAAAAAAATTCTAAAATCCAAGGTAACATTTGTGAATTGTAAATTAAAATGGCGTATCTAACTGTTTCATTCGTCATTGATTGAGTAAGCGTGGCTATCGTTATACCAAGTAGAGTAGGAGACAGTAGAATACCTATATAATTATAAAAACGCGACGTTAAGCTAGGTGTCATGCGCGTGGCGCATCTACGCTCGGATATAAAATCTTGCGTTGTTACCGCGAACGACACGCGTGTGTTTTTTATATTTTTATGTATATATTTTTGTTTAGTAACTAAGAAGGGGTACCCAAAAAAATGTATTGATAAAAAGGGGTACAGTGTTTATAAAAGTTTGAGAATCCCTGAATTATAAACTATGATATAGCTGTATTGTACAAGGTTTTTTTTTAACTGATACAAATACAGTTTTATAGGTAGATACTTCTTAAATAAATTCTAGACATTTATTAATCTATACCTAATACCTATGGTTAAAAAAATTAGACACCATAAGCTTGTATATAGTATTATAATTTATATTTTATATTATAATTTTTTTTTAACATCAGGAGAGAAAAAAATATTTTTTTGGTTTGTAGTAAATATAAATATTTTCCTTGTTGTTCATAAAAAAGTTACTAATAACATGACCAACATTTTACATTATGCAATACTTAATATATCTTAATATTATTAGAATAGGTATAAGGAATAATAGGGAGTGGTGTTACTGTAAATTGTAATAGGAATATTATACATTAGTTGTCTTGTGGGTAACTGTAATGGATATGTCAAAGTAAAATAAAATAATGTAAAATCATTGTGCCTATACGAAAAACGGTTCTGAGCGATTCTGGTCTGTCAGCCTATATTACTAATTAGCATTGCAGTGGTATAGCCAGGAATTTTGTATGGGGAGGGCTAAGTATCACAAAAAAATACAAAAAAGCGGTAAGTGGATGTCGTTCTGCTCACAGTAGGTTACAAGTGGGTCACTGTATAATGGATTGTATTAAATTTGAATTTAATGATATTACTATCATTGTATACGAAAAACGATTCTGAGCGGAGACGGTTTGTCAGTCTGGATATTTTATATTGTTATTATATTTTATTGTGGGCCTGTATGTTGAATTAATATTATAAATTACAACATAATGAATAAAATCGTTATTTTTATTTTATTTGTTTTTATGATAATAAACGAATCGTTAGAAATTAAAACCCCATTTTATTGGTTTTTTTGTAATTTATCAGTAGTTTTTCCCGTGGCATTAAATAACTGTTGAGAAAATCGAAAAATGACCTCTTTAAAGTACCATCTTGATCAAATTTCCTAAAAAATAAGATACAATATGTTGAAATCGAAGCACTCCTTCTGGTAGAAATTTTGTATACAAAATAAAAAAAATAATAAAAAAAAATAAACTAAATTTTTTTTTTTACAACTTTCAGCGTAAACTATTATAGTTCGAAAATTACTTAGTACTTAATTATGACATTAACAAGAAAAAGGAAAAAATAAATAAAATAGAAACATCATATCGGCATGAGTTAGGGCGCTACAGATACCTTAACCGGTTGTAAGCGATTTAGTACAGAGGTTAACAATATATACATAATGGATTAATTATCGTTTTAAAGTCTTCAATGAACTTGTTTATGGAGATTGAATGAGTATCTTCAAATTGTGTGTTGGCAGTGATATTGACGTAAGATCTATTATTATGTTTGAAATTGGAGTTGGCTGATGGGTTTTTTGACGAAGGCATTGTCTTGATTGGAGTGGGTTGTTTTTTGTTGTTTGCGGCTTTGGAATTTTTACGATTTTGTATGATATTCTTGTACACAGGGCAGTAATAATATACTTTAAAAGTTTCGAGTACCTACCCACGAATAATATTTTTAAATTACAACGATATAATTAAAATTGTTCGTTTAAATATCTATAAAAGAAAACTGTGTTTATATATATATTTTAGATTGTTTGGTTAAAGTATGAAATACTTATGAGAAATCTTGTTTTACATTTTCAATTATTAGCTATACAAATTGAACATTTTCGTACATTTTTAACTACGAAATAATTTGCAAACAATCGTGATTTTGAAGAAATTTATCAACATTATAATATTGAATGATTTTAACATTTTATTAACTAATTAGTATGTATCTTTAAATGTTTTAACTTTTAACTGTTATTATAAAAAGTTACGAAGAACCTTGTACACAATTTTCAAGCTTTTTGATTCAGCGCATTTTTTTTAATCGACATTTATAGAAAAAAATTAAAAATTTCAAATGTCTATAAATAGATCAGATTCAAAATATTTCGTAAAAATATTATCACGTATAGAAATAGATTAAATAGATTAAATAAATAATTGAAAATTTAAAGTATTTAAGGTCGTTACCAAAGTATCAACTACCAACTAGATTCTCTTTCCTACAAGAAAAGATTCTGAAAGTAATAATCAAAGTATTTTTACTGCCCCAAAGGTGATGAAAGGCAGAAAAAAAACAACACATCATTGTAATTATCGCTAAATTTAGAATCTAAAAAGTTAAATAACCATAATATATTTTGATTTTTTGAATCTATGTGTTACAAAACAAATTTAGTTTGTAGCTAGTCTAGCGTTGCTACAAAAAACGAGAAAAAAAATTTTAAATTATTACTAGGGCCCGTAACTTGATGATCTAAAAATATTTAAAATTACTTATAAACATCAAAAAATGACCACAAAAAAGTACAAAAATGAATAAAATGCACCAAAAATACTAAAAAATGACCGTAAAGCAATAAATTCCCTAAAAATGAAAAATAAAATTGTACCATTAAATTCTATATTATATGAATCAAATTTCTGTTAAGACGAGCCTCAAATGTAAGCATTAGAAAAAAAGATGCAAGTTCTGGGCCCTAATTATAACCATACTATCTTTACTATTAAGCTATAGTCAGTTTATCACAAACATAAGACCATAAGTGTGAATAATTATTTGTGATTAAAATAATACATTTTTAACAGGTCATCAAAGAGACCAAAGGTGCGTCGGAGCTTCCATCAATACCAATCATGTTGGTGGGCAACAAGTGTGACGAGAATGACACTCGAGAAGTTTCAGCTGAAGAAGGTGATGCTGAGGCTCGGCGGTGGGGCTGTCATTTCATGGAAACGTCGGCCAAGACCAACCACAACGTCAAAGAGCTGTTTCAGGAGCTTCTCAATCTGGAGAAGAATAGAAACATATCGCTGCAGCCCGAAAAAAAGTCCATGCGCGGCCGTAAGATACGGGAGAAATGCGCGCTCATGTAGTAGTAAATTATGTACTACCAAGACACGCTCATCGGACATGGGGACATAGTTTTACATTCGTGTTGTTTATATTTTATAAAATAATTTTCATTTTGTTAAGTCACAATTCGTTGAGAATTATTATAAAATGTCACAGTAAAAATTAACTTAAAATTTTTTATTAGTGAGACTGATAAACGCTGACAACACCAATTTATTTAGATTATAGTACTTTAGAGCGATGTTACGACACAACTATATACCATGGACTTTTTCGGAGGTGCAAATATAAAAATGAATTTCAGTTGTATATGTCATAGACATATATAGCTAGCAAAGATGTAGTGCATAGTATTTACGTTGTATATATTATCCATAATTACTATATCAGTCAGACAGGGAATACGAGTAATGGTGAATACTTTTGTAAAATCAGTTTTCACAGTACAATAGAACAAACATTTGTTTGAGTAATTACGTATGCAGTACTATAATGTGGTTTGATTTGTGCAGTGATTATTTGAGAGAAACAAATATCCGACCCTAGATTTTATAATTTATAAGTATATCATTTATGAGTAATGTTCAGCGTACAGAATATAAACTATTTTTCTTTTTTTATCATAATTAAATTTTAATTATTGTAACGAGTGTTGTATACAGTTGTAGTGTACTAAATTGTCCTGTATGTAACACTCATGAAGTACCATAAAAACGTTAATAATTTTTATTTTTTAATATTTCTAGTCAAGTAATATTGCTTTTCTTTATAAAGATGAGAATTATATATTGTATGTTGCACCTTGTACATAATATTTTAATAAACAATGTAGTTACCTAGTCAACAATATTATAATTATATTTTTAAATACATATGACATTTGGTAACCTTTGTTTTTTTAGATAAATATTTTAACATGTTATTATTGTTTACAGCTTTATATTATGATTCATTTGTTATTCTAGTTGTATAAGTGTATTGTCGATCAATTTTAAAAATTGGAAGTGATTTTTGGAAATCATTCTAATAAAAACATTTAGTTCCTGAAAATAATTTTTTTTATCATTATTAATTTTACGCTCACAATTTTGTTGTTTTTATATTTTCACTTATATAATATTATTATAGTTTGTAGATTTCATTAATTTTAATGAAATAATTAACATTTGTATAATTGAATCATTTTTTAATTTTTACATATTATTATTAAATTATTAATTTAATAGGCTAATAATTAGCTGAAATATTCAACCTACAGATGGGAACATGATTATTTGATATTTATTAATAATTACTAATTAGGTATTGCATACTTTTTTGGTATTTTATAGAATATAAAAAAAAAGTTTTATTGTAATATTAGCCTAATGCTCAATAAGAATTTATAAAAGAAAAAGATAAACAATTTTTTTTTCAGTTTGTATTGTCCATTAAACACAATACTATTGATTATTATTTAGACATTTATATAAGAGCTTTAAATTGTTGTTTAATGAATGTTCAGTAAATATGTAATATTGAATGTCTGAACACGTGAAATCATTTATGGCAAATCCAAAACGAACACAATTTAAACATAATTTCACCAAAAGAGGGACAGTATATCGAGGAATTTAATATGTATAGCTATTATACTCAATATTGTCAACCTTTTAACTTTTTTTAATTTTTATTGAACTTAATTCACAATTCATTTTTTTTAGAAAACATATCACAGAAAAAAACTTCTATTTAATATAGTCATATAAAAAGTTATAAAAGTATAAAAATAAATATTTAAAAATTCTGGTATATCATTATAGTCTTCATGCTTTATCCTTTATTATTCACCCATAGCTTGTAAACGATGGCGTGTAAGATTTGCGATATCATAACAAGCTTCTGCGGTTAATAAATCTGATACCAAAAAGACAAAGGGAACATGCATTCATTACTACTGTAGATATAATTCAGATTTTTTAGAAATACTATGTCAAATAAAATTGAATAATGTTTAATACATATTTTACTAAGATAAATGTATAAACATAATTATATAATATTCTTGTTTAATTGGAATGGAAGTAGTGCAAGTTGATATTTCATAAGATTTACTTGTAATTACATTGTTTTTGATGTTTGATACTTTAATGTGTACTTAAATCAGAAATTTAAGACTTAAGTCATTGTTATAGTGAAAATTGAAATATCTAAGTAATGCAAATCAAAATGTAACGGTTAGTGTAAAATTCTAAAATTGCTCTTATCGTCTGTTTTTCCTAAGCTTATTGTCCATTTTTCATATTATCCATATTTGGTAAATTTGATCCTAAATTATTATTCTTATCCTTAAAATTCTAAAAATTAATTTCATATAATAACTGTAATTAAAGGGGAAAAAAACATATGAAATACAGTGTAAAATACAATTATTATAATTTTCCCATTATAACATGGTAATTGATTATAATAGATGTTAAATTTCAATTGATACAAGCAAATAATATTAATGACAAAATAATAGAATTATGATGTAATGTTAATTTGATTTAGTAATTGGAATCGGATTTTAGGTTTACGCTTATATTTTAAGATCAGAAATTAGATAAGTAAAATTGTGATATTGAGAATCTTTAATAAATTATAAAAATTATATTAAAATTATTATAATCATATGAATAAATGTTTCTTTGATTTAATTTTGTATGGTTATTATTGATAAAATAATTTATTAAAAATAAAACACAATAAAATAGGAAAGTCTAATGAATAAATTATTTAAAATCAAAACTAAATGTATTATTTAGATTTTTTTTTTTTAAATAATTCACATTTTCAGTCTTAGGTATTGTGCTATACATTGAAAACACTTTATCTACATTCGGTTATTCTGTAAATATTGATTTTACGATATTTTAAGTAATTTATGTTTTACTTATGGATATTTTCCCCCAAGTGTATTATAGATTCTAAACTTCTACTATGGTTTTTTAAATTATTTAATTATTTATATGTTTAAATTCTATTAAACATGTCTTACAGTAATAAACTTAAATATAAACAATTAAATTCTATTGTAGTAATATTTTTAAGACAGACATAGTTTATTAATTATATAATGAAGTGTAATAGTATGTTGTAAGACTTAAGTTAATAAGTAATTTAATATTTAATATTATTATACTTTATTTTTTAATAAAAAACATATTTTATGCAATATATTTTTCATTAATTCAATTTTGGGAAGAAAATATGTCCGGATTAAGAAAATAGTATTAATTACAACTTAGTATTAGATATTATACTAGATATTTACAATAAAACTTTTCTATTCATATTTTACTTTTAATACTTACAGTACCTATACTTGTTTGATTCTTCTAATGCATACTGTATACTTGTATCATATATAAGCATTTTATAATAAGATAATGCTAATAATACATTGCGCACTCTTGATATTGTTTGTCTATCACCAATATCAACTACCTATAAAAATAATAATTTTTATTCTGAATTACACATTAAATTAAATTAATAATATTATACTTGTTGAAGATCTATTATCGCGATTGAAAGGAAATATAGGTAGCGCACTAGTCGATACTAATGATGAGGCTAAAGGCGTAATCGGTCAAAAAGTCGAGTATGAAAAAAGTCTGACAAAAAGTTCGGATTCATTTGCTCATTGCCGGACAAAAAATCCTAATACATTTTCCGAAAATACAAAATTGTCTATTAAATTTGTAATGTATCCATGTAATATACACATTATATGCATGTAATATTTTATAGAGTCAGTTCATTTTTATATTATTGTATATATTTTTCTATCGTTTGTACTTTGTACAAGTTAATTATTATAAGTTGCTAATGTCATATTGCCATAATACAGGTAGGTCAGGCAAAATATAATATCATTATACAGGGTGTATCTTATGTCATTGTACGCGGGGTTTTTTGACGATTACGGAACGATGATATGGAATTTCGTTAAAACGAAAAAAGACGTGTTTCTTTATTTTTAACAAGCAATTTTTTTATAACAATTTCAAAATTTTTAAACACACAGGTGTACCAATAGCAAAATCAACTTTTTTTTTTCAAATGGTAACCATTATATTTTTTAATGGGTTCTGGTAAAGCTTTTTTTTCTGAACATTTTGGTAGTTGAATCGTCAATTTTGGTTCGCTAGTTTATTAACTATGGTCCTCCAAAGATTAGTAAAATATGTATTTATACTTTTAATTAAAATAATGGGTATAGGTTTAATTTACAAGCGCTAAACCATTTTTTCTTATAACTACCATTTGATACACTACAATAGTTGAATCGGTAATCTAATGACACCCTCAAAAAAAAAAAAATAACAAACACAATTGTTTGTAAACATACCTACTTCATTATTTTTATTTTAACATACGATCATAAAAATCAATATTATTATTTTAATATCCAAAACTAAAAAGGATGGAAAGGGATGAATTACAACTCCTAAGTTCATATTTTGGATGCGATACCATTATAGGGAATTTATGGTTAAAATATCAAGTTTATACTTTATACCACTACGAAAAGAGCACCACAAAACATTGCACTTTTTTCGTTGCACATATTAATGTAAACAATCGAATAACATTTACCAATTTACCATTATTACCTTAGCCACCTACCTAATTAAGAATTCAAATTTATGATATTGTAAGAAAAATAACTGTGATGAAAAAAATGTAAAGTAATTAATTACGATTATAATAATAAATTAAAATAATAATATTGATTTTTATGATCGTATGTTAAAATAAAATTAATGAATAGCATGTTTACAAACAATTGTGTTTGTTATTTTTTATTTTTTATTTTTTTGAGGGTGTCATTAGATTACCGATTCAACTATTGTAGTGTATCAAATGGTAGTTATAAGAAAAAATTGTTTAGCGCTTGTAAATTAAACCTATACCCATTATTTTAATTAAAAGTATTAATGCATATTTTACTAATCTTTGGAGGACCATAGTTAATAAACTAGAGAACCAAAAT